CCGCCCCGCTCCCACACGGGGCACCCCAGGGACAACCCGGCCCGGCCCGGCCCCGCCCCCGCCGCCAGCGGCCCCGCCCCGCGGCAACGGCGCGTGCGCGAGCCTTTCCCGCCTTTTCCCGCCCTAGGGCAAAGGGGCGGCCGTTTTTTCCGTTATTTTCKGTGGGTTTCACCTCGGGCGTAGCATTTGGTTTCCAAAGCTGCCCCTTTCGCCTGTCCCTGAGTGCTGCTGCCGCCTAAGAGCCACTGAGGAGGTTTGCAGTGATTCCTTCCATTGCCCATCTCCAGATTTGCTTTCCCCCCATKCCCCCCTTTTTATCCGTAAGCTCTTGCTTTCTGTTTACTCAGCCTCAAGAAAATGCAGTAAGCAAAAGAAGTCAATCTCAAATCTTATACCAGGCCAAAGCTGGCTTGGTAAACTGAAATGTCAAGTTTATAGGGACTTTATTTTAAATTGTATTACTTACTGATGGCTGTTGAGCTTTATTGTGCCACCAAAGCAGTTTAAATGTAAATTATATTGCATCAGTGAGCCAGAAACTGCTGTAATGTTGTCAAAGAGGTAATTTATGTATAGCACAGAAGGAAAGAGCAAATTGATCAGTTCTTCCAGTCTAAAGGTAGACACTTGGGCTTAATTCCGATCAACATGTTTAGCAGCTGTTCGCACTTAACTGCAGAATCAACAATTTAAATGTAGAGGCATTTATTATTATTATATCTATACACAATTACCTATTTATTTTCTGTTTATACTGTGTTTTCAGGACTTCATAAATACTTGGTATATTGAGTGTGTATATAATAGGTTTAAATGCAGAAGTTTATTCACTGTTTTTACAGCGTTTATCTATTTTAAAAAGGTAGAGAGTATGACTTTTACTTCAGGAATGTGGTCATTGGGCCCAGTTTTACAAAGACCTATTACCTGTTGCTTGACTACCTATGAATGTGTCCTAAATCCAGTAGAACCCCTTTAAAAATGTTGTCTAAACTGATACATGCAGTGGGGATATACAAAGAATTAAGACATGTGTCACAATATTGTATATAAATTGGATGTCTTTAGTGCACATACTGATTTACTTTCTCTACTTGCATGGCTTTTGTACAGCAAACTTGGAGTAAGCAATACATTATTTCTTATTAGGATACACAAAGAGAAATGAAAAGGAGTTTAACCGACACTTCGACTCGTAGCACAGCAGGTACCATTCGTTCTTTTGTACCTTAGGTGTATCTCATTCTGCTTTTTTATTTTATTTGTGTGTGTATGCATGTGTGTGTGTGTATATATATATATATATATATATATATATATATATATATAAAAACATATATATATGGCCAGGGGTCTGGTGACTAACTGAAAAGTTTAACTCAGACAAACTTTTGAGGGATAGAGGCCTGAGCATATAAATTCTATAGGGCAATAGCCAGACTGTCTTACCATTTTTTAGAGAATATCATTCTTCTGGGCAATGTAAAATAATAGAATTATTAGGTAATTATTAATTACATACTTAAGAACAGGTTGTGTATTCTGTTGCTGCTGATATGCTATAATTATGTGAATTTCAATTTTAGGTTGTCTGCCAGTACCTCTGTTCAATCAGAAGAAAAGAAACAGGCAGCCTCTCACTTCAAATCCACTTAAAAATGAGCCCTCTACCAGTTCTGGAACTCGGGCTTATGACTTTTCTCACACATCACAGGGTAAATAACATAGGTATATTTTTCAATGGCTCTGAATTCATTTAAATGTTAACTTTATGATTTTTTTTTTTCTTAAATTAGACATCACCCTTATCAAGAACTATAGGCCTCCTTTATGGTTATTGCTGAAAAGTTCATTATGTAAAAAATGTCCTCCAGGAAGTTCCTTTCTGCTCTATACAATTGAGCTTTTTTACTTTGTGCCTCGAGGGAGGTTGACTATGTATTAGAGAAGGCAGCAACATGTTGGCATTTAAATGGAGTCTCTTGGAACTCTGACCTTTGGTTTTCAGTTGATTTCAATCAAAATTCAAGGCCTGTATTACAAGAAGAAACATTTATAAGTCTTTTAAGCAATCCAGAAGAGAATTTCTGTTCCCCAAGTCATGCTTTGAAAGAACGGTACAGTTCTATCTCCATTCTATTCTCATTGTTTATTATGGTTCACTTGCAGCAAAAATGTCTCTACTAAAAAGAAATAAGTCTAATGTTTGTAACTTAAGCATTGTCTACAAAAAGCCTATAATTACAGTTATCAGGGGATCCGTTTTTTTTTGTTTTTTTTGTTTTTCTTTTTTGAATGAGTAAGACTGTTTGTGGAACATTAAGCAAATAAATGATAGGAGCTGTAAGTATACTTACTGGCTTTCAGTCTGTTCAGTTTGTATCCATTTGCAATTTTTGGTCTTTTGAGAATTAGGCTGGGGAATTGCAAACGCAGAAGTGGCTGAACTAGAGAGTGCAGCAAACAGTGGGTAGGTAAAAGCAGATTATTTTGTTTTTTAATTTTAATTCGATTATTATTTGTTGTTTTAATTATTTCTGTGTGATTTTTGTAATTATTTGTTTTTAATTTATTTATTTCAGTTATTATTTTGATTATTATTAAATTACAATTCATATGTTTGTATTACAGTAAAGCAGGTACTATGTCTCTGATACTATACATTTATCCTTAGAAGTCAAACAGAACATCAAATGGCTCCTACCCTTCTGAAACCACAAAATGCATCCAAGTCTAATTCAGCGAATACTGGAAAAAACTTCTATACCTTCAGGTTGGTAAAGTCTATAACTGTTATTATCCTTAACCAAAACCATTCTCATATGAAAATACCCTGTATTGTTCTGCATTCTGGTAGCATTCAGAAAGGCCCTTTCAATCCTCGGATCATTGCTGTACTACTAAACAATTAAATTGTGAGCCAAAAGCTGGTGAATTCAGTGAGTACCTTTCCAGTGTACATGTTGAGGCCTATTAATTAGACCTAATAGCTCACCATAACATCAGGTCAAAAATTCAACGTTACAATAAAAGTTGAGTTAGGGCTTAACGATCAGGCAGCTCTGAGATTAACTAGATMAGATACTTTACTAGTTCTAATTTTCATAGTTCAAAAAAGGTAAGCTTTTGAGACTCCACTTTGCTTTSTAGTGAAATTTTGTCTACTTTCAACTCTTGCTTTTTTTTATTGTGATGGTTTCATATCAGCAGAACACTCAAGCACATATATAAGCCTCTTTGCTGAATCAGACCCTTTATAAATTAATGGTTTTGAAAGAAGGGGATCAACAGAGAGCTAGGAGAGAAACTCGATTAGAATTCCAGGAATTATTTATCAACAAGTTCAAAAAAGTTTCAATTGGTGTGCAATGGGGCAATTAAATAGCAGGATATTCAATTAAAATTTACTTGTGAATTCTATCCTCTTACAAACCAAGCAAAAGCTTATAGACCCAGATGCCCAGAGCTGGTAAAAAATCTTCCAGCAATGTTATAATTATCCTTTTCTCTCTTCTCTTCTTCCTGTTCTTTTCAAATGGCAGGCAGAGAGTGTGAATAAGTAGCTTTTAAAGAATTGCTCTACTTTCTAAAGAATAGAAAGGGAAGCAATTTCTGGAGCTCCTTTTTAAGATTTAGGCTTAGGAAATGATAAAGTTGTCATTTGAGTTTGTTGGGGACGGTTTCTTCAGTAATGGTGATAGAAAGTTAATTCAGAAATAATGTGCTCAGAAGAAATTTTGCTCATTTTATTTTAAAGTTAGGAAAATCATGTAAATCTTAGGTCAGGAAAGAACACATGCAGGACAGTAATTAAGCAACTTTTAAAGCCCTAATGAATTCAGTAGGATTTAAACACATGTAGTGACTTTTATATACAGACAAGTTTAAGTGCACACTCAAGTAGAGTCCGTTGCAGGGAGGTTTATTGAAGGCTAAATATACGCCAGGTATTTATTTTTAATTGAAAAGAATGACATGTAGAATGCATTCATGGACTTATCTGAATATTCAGAATAGGTATGGTAATATTGAATTATATATATGTTAACTTTGCAGGGCAGAAGAGAAGACTGCCAGTACTAAAGGTTGGAACAGAAATGTGTATACTCCTTTAARCAACAGAACAGATTCAGTATCTGATAGTGGATTTGGAAAGTTTGAGAATGTTTCAAGTAATCTGAAAACTGCTCAGCACCAAAAATACCCTGGTAACCACAATTCTCAGCATATCAAAACAGAAACCAGCCAAATATACTCGTCTAAAGCACAACGGCCAGTGAAACCTAGCACAGTATCAAGAAATCCGCAGGATCATAGTCTGGCGTATCAATTTAACCACAATATGCAGCAAAATAAAATKAATGAGAAACAATTTGATTGTGTTCAAGAAGACAAAATCCAGGTAAATTTCTGCAGAGAATTAGCAGGAAGATACAATGAGGAAAGCAGTAAAGAAAAAGAAAATTGATGAGGCTCTCTCTTTGTAAACCCTTAAGTTACCAAAAAATTTGAGATTTTAGTGTTGCAATAACCTAAAATCTCAAGCATGATCTTATATTGACAGGGAGTTATTTGTCGAGTCTGAAGAAAAAAATTCTAATATTGCACATGTAACATAATATGTAAATGTCTGCCTTTTAAAATCTGTAATCTCTAACTGGAGTTTTCATCTTTGGCTGAAGGAAGTTTCATCATCTCAACTGAAACTTAAAGAAAACCAGAATTCTTTGCGCATCATATCGGCAGTCATTGAAAGTATGAAGCACTGGAGTCACTATACTTATAAAACTGCACTATTATTTGAAGTTTTAGGTAAGCGTGGTAGATTGTGCTGTAACTGTTAGTAATGGTAGGACATCCACCAGGAAATATGTTAACTGTGCCATTTAGTTTTTTTCTGCCAGAAGGATTCATTTAGCTGTTAAAGGTGGCTGAAATAATACAAAATTAACAGCACAGGCATCCTCCAGTATTTAAGCTCTGTCTATTTTCTCTGCTTCTTTTTTTTTTTTTTTTTTTTTGATATGTATTGCAATAAGTTTTCCTACTAAATAGGACCTTCTGTAGGGAGGTGCAGTTTTACAGTAATTTTTAATAGGATTAATCTGGGCATCAATCCAAACCTGAAGAGCTTCTAAATGCAGATGACTTAGTGGCTTCACTTTGCATTATAATTGACATTATCTGAGAAATGAAAATAACCAGAGGTGACAGAAATGACTAAAGTCTTTAAATCAAGATAAATAAGAATATACATTATAATGGGATCTCAAGAAACTCCTATATTGACAAGACTGCAAATATTTCTAAGGTTGATTTGCATATGAGCATTAAGATATAAGGAATTTTTGTTTTACTGTGGTTTATATATCTAATATATGTCTTAATGCTTTTGTGCAGTAGATATTACCACAATATCTTTGTGTATCATATTTAGTACTGCACTGATATTTGCCTCCTAATTTATTTCTGCTATTCATAGGCACACTCGATTCTGCAGTCACACCTGGAGCGTATGGGGCAAAGAATTTTCTTTTGAGAGATGGAAAGGAGAGTCTGCCCTGTGTATTTTATGAAATTGTAAGYATTTCCATATCCATACATAATGCCAGTAACACTTCACTGTAGTCCCTTTTATGAAGTTAATAATTCATGTTCTAATAAAAGAGAAACTTAAGGTATAAAAGAAAAGCGGGAAACATATACGGAATTAGTCCCATACCAGGCTAGAGCAGTAATACAGCCACTATTAAAGCAGCCTTAGACTTTTAACATAAATATTGAAGATGTAGACGGGAATTTCATGTCAGCTTCTAAGTAGCTGATAATGGCAAAGAAGCCATTCAGTATTTGGAGGCCTTCAGTACTTGAAACAGTCTTCAGAAATTCACTAATAACTACCAACTACAAGACATTTTTAAAGATTTGTTCCTATGAAAAAGGTGATTTTTTGCTTGTTTGTTTGTTGTGCTCATTATGAAGGACCGGGAGCTTCCAAGACTGATCAGAGGTCGAGTGCATAGGTGCATGGGAAACTATGATGCAAAAAGGAACATTTTCAAGTGCGTCTCTGTAAGACCGGCAAGTATACCAGAACAAAACACCTTCCAAGAATTCGTTAAAATTGCAGATGTTGAGATGGCCGCATATGTAAAAACAATGAATGAGATTTAAAATAGTTGAAATGATTGTCCAAAACTTTTATTAATTCATCCCTAAGCGTAAAGGCTGACATGCTAAAGCATTTACCAAAACTAATACTGAAAATCTTATTAAATAAAACGTTATTAGGCTGTGTTATCCAACAAATGTTGATAACATTTTTTTGATGTTTCCACATTACATTTCAGAGTTTATCTTTGCTAGCTATCAGTACAGTAACAGATTTTTGTTGCCTACTTTTGATTAGAGTTTATTGAAGAAATTCTGAATAAAGAAGTTGGACTTGATTATAAGTATCTTATTTATACAAACTGTTCTTGTTTAACTAGGGGGAACCAAGTCCTATTCTTTTTAAATTTTAACTAATTTTTATYGAAAAATTATACCGCTTTGGTCCTTTTTCACTACTTCAAAGGTAAACCAAAAAATAGGGATCAGTGCGATTTTTTTTGTTTGCTTTTATTATACAGTGTTGGCAGTTGGAAATTTCACATTTAAAATAATTGAAATATTGTATCCAACAAGTCAAATACAGAAAACAGTTAATATTCTAGAAAGGAGTCAGCTAGTCAACGCAGAAACACATTAATGGAAAATACAGCTTTAGTAACACTTAAAAAATTATATATTTAGAATAAAACTTGAACCTGATCGAGTAAACTGTTTGACTTTTAACAAGAATACGTTTTTACACAATTTAACTTGCAGACAGTATTTATTTGAAAAGTGATTTGTCAGTGTTAGAAAATATATTGTTAACAGCATCCCACTTTAAATTCCAGTTGAGGATCTACAGTATATGCTTCCTTAAGTGTTGTTAGAACCATTTCTGAACATGGACATTATCTAGCCAGTTACAGAGGTCATATACCTATCTTCAATTTCCTTTAATTATAAAGTAGTAAAGAAAGTTCCAATGGAGGCATTATATTAACCAAAAAAAAAAAAAAAAAAANAAAAAAAAAAAAAAAAGGTAAAGAAGGTTACGGAAAGTAGAGCCTAAAAATATTCAATGTGGGAGAAAATCAAGTTGTAAAAGTTGGGCTCAGCAGTGCTGCAAACTGTAACAATAATTTAAAATTAAAAAGGAAGCTTGAAGTGTGGAAGCAGGCCTGCAAACACGTGTGCATGTAATCAGCAGCAGCCAAGTGTTGCAGTCCTGCTGAGTGGTTGCAGACCTGCACACATGAAAGTTCYATTAACAAGCAGTGACAGAAATGGGTCATTTATGTCTCCTAGGTGTTAGGGATGTTAATAAAAATCTAACATAACATTACTGTCAGTAAGCATTTGGACCTTTGCAAAAATGTTTGCTATTTTACACTAACAAATCACTTTTTCCAGTGAAACATTAAGTGAACAATTGTCAACATTACACAAAACAGGAAAAAAAACACATAACACAGTTTTTACACATTATTCAACATTTTCAGGTGTTTTTTATTTTTTTACTGTATTGATCCCGTCTTGTATAATGGTTCTAGTGTAAAGGCACAGGTTGGTTAGGAAAGAAAAGCCTGCATCTCTTTCTCTCTATGTTGCAGTTATGATTTTCTTTGTACCTGTTTTTTTTTTCCCTTCACTTCTCTGGCTTTTATATGAAAATTAACTATTTCAGCCATTCATTAAAAAAAAAAAGAAAAAAACTGTAAGACATTACTAAAAATTAAATGACTATAAAGAAATGGCTAGAATTTATTCTTTTTCATTTAGAGATATTCCCTCAACCTATTTTGTTAAATGTTTGGAAAATTTAATTCCTTAAGTACTGTGGATAAAAACACATAGTTTGCTCTCTCTGTGCACATACTTCTACTCTGAAATCTGTATTTCAGAAGATTGGTAATGGAAGATAATAAATTTATGCACAGAATTTACCTTAGGAGTGCATGAAAAGGTAACAACAAACAATTATTTGGAAAATAATAACATTCCATTGATGTTCAGAAGGTAGAGGAATGTAAACAAGACTGTAGAGCTCTTTGACATGTATTAAAATAAAACTATCTTTCTTTTTTTTTTGCATTTTCTTATATATCCTCAACATTTCTCAATCAGCCCTTTCATGTACACTCTTAATTTTAAAAAATAATCACCAATTAGTTGGGCTCGACTAAGTGAAGAATAATAAATTTGATCACTTGTTCTGTGCCGAAATACAAAACTGAGAATTAATGCTCTGAATTAAATATAAACTATGCTATTTTTTATTAATAAATAATAGAAAATAAAAGATTTTGTAGTAAAATGAGAATAAGATTAGAATTTAAGTTTTGTTTTGAATGAAAAAGGTAAGAGTGGAGTGAGATTAGAAGCCTATGGTTCTTTTGCATAAGGCAATCAAAAGTGCACTTACTTCAATCCGTGGCAGTAATGAATTCAAATGCTATTGTGAAAATTAGATTTCTCAAATTTCACATAAAAATACCCAAGAAATATGGCCATCCGATTCTTATTCATGGTAAGTAGCATTTCACTTCCCAATAATGTTASTTGGGATAATGGGCTATTCAAGAGGAGGAGGGGAAATACCGGAATCCAGTCCCTTTTCACTTGCATTATCACCCTATAAAAGGGCCTATGGACATATAGGTATTTTGAGCAAAGTATTTGCTTTTCCAGCCTTAAAAAACATGCAACARAAGACAAAACCTGCAGTTCTCATAGTTCACACGCTTTTGTAAAATTTCACATAAACAACTCTGAATTCTAGAGAAATATATAAAAACAAATTCTTGCCTTTTTTTCCTTTTGTGAAGCCCATCATCTTTGAGCCTTCGGAAACAGTCAGGTCCCTCTCTGACAAAAGTCCTTTAAAATGTATGGATGTTGCCATGAAGACTTTGTATCTTGAATACCAGCTCAATGTTAAAAAAGTGTGCCTGCAATTTACAATATGTAGGTTCTACCAAGCATAATAGATTAAGAAACTTTTTTGCTTTTTGTATACAATTCTTTTTAGACACCAAGCTTAATTTTAGGCCACAACTGCTGGCAGGCTTTTTTTCACTAATCAAAACAATAACAAAAATATTACCGGTCTTAAAATCAGTGGGTTCATAAAAGTTTTGACATTTAATATATAAAAAGCGAATCGAGGCTTTTAAAAGCCTTAAGGTTTTGAGACACRAAAGAAACTGCTTGGGAGGTAGACAGATGTATTGAGGATAAACAGATTTTATGGTTTTTTAGTCTAAGGCATTATGCCCGTGTATGGTTAGAGCAGTAGAAAGGCTGCTGATTATTAGTTCAATTCCAGAGTGTTTGCTACTCACGCGAACGGAAGACGAGCGAAGCACTTTTGGTCTCTGTGTCTGACTTTCTCTCCCCATCTCCTCTTTTTCCTTTAGCTGCGCAGCCAAATGGAAGTGCTAGAATAATTTCTGTTCTGTAGATGGGGCTGTTCTGCTCTCAGCAGTGAAATACTATAGAAGAGTAGGTATTGGAGTTGGAGAGATGTGCTCTTTTGGTGCATATTTCGCAAAGAATGGTAAAAAGACAGACAACATGACCCCAACAATTGCCAGCATATAGCCCCAGCCGATCTGGCAGTCTCCTGCATAGTAAATATCGGAATTCTCGCAGAATCTCTTCACAGTAGCAGAGTTGAAACCAAAAGGATAAACCAAAAGGCCGGAAGCCATTATGAACACTAGAGAGGAGGAAAGAACGAATGATTATTGAGCACTTAGTTCCTTGGAAAAAGTATTTTAGATGAAAATGTTTGTTTTTTATATTAAAATTAATGGAGACAGGCAAAGCTTAGAAAGCATTAATGAATTGTCTCAGAATATCTTCCCTTTCATAATTGTTCTCTTGCAGACTGCAGTGTCCTACTGTGGTAGCAAGTGGTCCCTTTGTCCCCTTCCCTGCTTGCCCAGAGCAGCATTTGGGGCAAATCTGGGCTACTAAGTCAAGAACAGCAGTAATTAGAATTACCAATAATGTTCAGACTGGTAGATAATCCATAACGAGCAAATATTTAATTAGATACTAAGATGATAAAGCAGCCACTACATGCACTTAAATGTAGTGAATACTCTGCATTCGCAATTTGCCTYCCTGAATTGCTTTTCAGGTAGGGCATGTGCGCATTGCTTCAATTATAATAATGGAGAGACCTAATCTAAGGAGTATTCACTAAAATGGGAACCACTCATTAATCCTTTTTTTTAATTAAGAAAACAAAGAGCTTGTAGGCTGCTGGAAGAGAAAGTTGAACAGTCGGCCTGTGACATTCTTGCGGTTTGCAGTTCCCTGGAGCATGTGCAGAGGGCACCAACACACAGCGATCCYAAACCGCCGGCACCGACAGCCCACATGGCTCTTCCCATTTCCACTTCTTTCTCCAAGACTACTGGTGTTTTCAAGGTACAAAACAAAGAATTGGACAGTTTTCTGTACCGCAGGACAGAAGGAGGAAACTTTAGTTTCGCTCATGGTTCTGTATCGTGCCAGAATACAACCACAAGTGCAAGCCCGGTAAGAAAATAATTTCCATCAGTGTTAATCTCCTGCGCATTCACATTGTCTTTTTTTCCCCACATTTGCTAGTTTAGAAGGCAGCATGGAAATAAGCTTTCCTTATTTTCCTTATTTTGCCTTATYTGAGCAGCCTGTTACATTCCTGACATTGTGACGGGGGATTAATTGGGAACTGTGGGACACGTCAGCCAGTTGGGAGAAGCAGGGCCGAATCGCAGGCCAGCAGCAGCGACCTGCCACCGTTTTATCTCCTGCAACTTTTCTATGGACAGAGCATCCCCCACTGAAGCAGGCAGCTCTACGTCCTTGCTCCTCTCCCCAGGACGCTTCCCCTCGCACAAACCCGCTCCGAGCTGCTCCTGCTTATTTTTAAGTCTCCGCATTTGGGCATTTTGGACACAGGTGGTCCCAGCTCCCCTAAGCGCAAGCCTAAGATCAAAGCGYGGTTGTTCTCCCCCGCGGTGTCTGCGCACGAGTCCGTCCTTCAGCAGCGCCCAAAGCACTGGGGCTAACTCTGCTGAAAGCTGAAATGCCCCCGAATCAGCAGGCAGCCTTTTAAGTGCCAATTGAGCGTAAAGGCAGTGCAGAGGAGAGCGACTTTGCAAAGAGAAAAAAAAAACGGAGCAAATCCTGCTATCAGGGAAGGGAAACGTTGGAAGGGGGAGCCGCAGGTGCCGCTAATAAGAGCCCTCGGCTTCAGCAGTGCAGAGCAGACACGCACAGTGCGGGCGCCCAAACGCAGCCCCGGCAATTATCCCCTCCAAAGGGAACAGGGAGAAGGACACCCACCAATCTGGGCTCAAAAAGCTGCTCTCTGCCTTTGTAGCCGAACAAAGAGCTGGAGGGAGCCGTAATGATACAGCCACTTCTCACACGTTGCTGCTCAGCTCCTCTYCTTTGTGAAAAATCCTTCCCCTTGGCTTCATTCCCATCCCTGTGTGATTTGAGGAACTTGTCTCAATCCCGGATTGTCGCCAAGGTAAGTGGAAGAGATGCCAGGGATGWTGTTTTTTCTTTTCCTAGCTTATCTAAATGGTGCAAATCACAGGGTAGCATTTAATGGCCTCAGTATAAACGCGCTTACAGAGTGAGCTGTGGGACTTGCCAAAACCCTTTGCTAGGGGACAGAGAAAATCCACCGGTTTGTGGAATGTCCCCCAATGCTCTGATTAAATAAATGCCAAATATGTGACCCCAGCTCACAGGCTGTGAGATAGTGCCCAAGATATAGGTGTGTTTATATACACATACGTGCAAAAACGATGAAAATACAACGTGTACCAAAGCCCAGCCGATGGTCCTGCAGCATTTCAGCTTGCCCAGATTTAGCTCAAGCTGATTAGGAACAGGTTATTGAAATACAACTAATGCAGATGAGAAGTGCCCACACATCTCTGTTGATACACATCTTTTTAGGACCCCTTAAATCCTCACTGGAGTCTGGTTGGCACAACTCGGACATTCCCACCAGCCAGAAATGGCTCAGAATGGCTCAGAAATCTCTGCAACTGCACAGATAGCCCAATCCCTGCTTTGCTGCCCGGAGGGAAGGAAATCCGGCCATCCCGGCTGTGCAAGAACAATCCTGCRGAGCCAGCGCAGAGGTAATTGGCTTGGGCAGTCGCCGCATTAGCTGCAGGTTCATTAAGGGCCGCGGACGGCGCCGCTGACCTTTGCGGCTGCGCCGCCCCGCGCGTTTTCTGCGGGCCGCCGAGCGAGGGAACCCGCTGCTCCCGCCAGGAGAGTGGGGATTTATAGCCRTGACCTGGGGAGCTATGGGCCTCATCGCGCGGTCATGGAGCTGGGTGTCGTGGTGATTTTATTCTGCTCGGGCACAATTACTCTCGTGCCACAGCAAGCAAACGGTGGTCATTTATATCTCTTGATAGAGTAGCCCCGTTAAGGYGCTCGGGCTAAGGATAAGGGACAGGGACAGCGGGACACGGAGCTGGGGACGGAGGGTCTGCACTGCCCCGGGGGCAGCGCCGGGGGTGCCAGGGGACGGAGCCTGCGGCCCGGCCGCCCATTCCCTTCCTCTCCGCTGCCACCTCTGCAAATTGTCCATTAATCACCCTCTTATCTCTGGAAGAAGCAGCTACTCCCAAGGACATCTGTGGTATCACCTTGGTTTTATTAATACCGGGAAGAATGCCGCTCCGGATCACCTGGCACGGGGATTTATTGACTCTGGGGCTTCCTGCTCCGAGGAGGGCTGAAACGCCACGCGGGAGGTGCGTTCGCCTTAAGAAACCAACTACTGCTGCTGGCCCCAGCCATGGCAAAGGCCACGAGCAGTGGAAATCTGGCCAGATCCATCAGGAAAGCGAAAATCAGCCTCTCTCTGCTCGTTTCTCCCTGCTGTTCCCCGCAGCTCRGGCACTGGCTGGGGCTCACACAGGCTGGCTGGTGTCTGCCAGGAGATCCCCCGCACGGACGTACCCGGCTGCTCTCTGCGCACTCGGGAGCTCAGCTGGGGAAAGGTTTATGTTTGGGAAGTGAATTCAGGTCACTGGGATAAAGAGATGCCATAAAATCCTTTAGCCCGGGTCGATTAACCCAGCACGAGAACCAGAACCAGAACCAGAACCGTACTGGGGAGCAAGGGCAGCCCCGCRAATACCCACATGCTGCTCGTGGCCCAAACCAGAGGACGCACAAGCTGATTTCCACCCAAAACGCAAGGGAAGCAAAGGGTTAAACAGCACCCAGGGCCAGCCCGGTGAGCTTCATTAAGCTAATTGTGGCAGAGGTGCTTAAATTCGGGGTGGCAAAGCCTCTGCCCTGCTTGCAGGGCTGGGTGGTTCTGCCTTGGTTGCTCTCCCTGCCTTGATTTAGGGGAGGGGGCAACTTGCTGATAAGCTCAGAACYGGGATTTCTTTTTCCCATGGCAAATTGCAGCCGCCTCCTTGCTGCCTGATGCCCCGGCTGGGTCTGCTCGGCCTCTCGGAGGGATTTCACGGGATTTCACACCCAGGTACCGGCGCGGGGGGCTGCCCTGGCTTGGGGCTGTTGCTCTGTCTCCCTTGTCTGGGTTGTYGCTAGTTCTCCCTGCGTGGTGTCCTTAGAGCACCTCTTGGGAAGGCTTTGCACCATCCAAGCAGCTTYGCCCTGAGCTCCCCGGGTGTCAAAAGGGGACAAAATGCTCCTGAAATAACGTGAATTTTCATAGTATTTAGTAAGGAAAGCAAAATTTAAGAGGAGGAAGCATTTGTTGAAATATTTTTGATCAGGAGAGTTGTGTGTGTGTTTAATGCCCTTCAGAGCAAGTGTTTTGCAGTGCCCCTTCCAGGGGACACCAGTTCCCCATGGCTGCAAAGAGCTGTGAGAATTTCCCCCATCAGCRCAACAACGTTCCAGGGCACTGGCCTTGTTCATCCATAATCTGCAGAAGGAAATAAGAGAATTTTTCCAGGCAGCACCTGTGCTTAAAATGTATAGTTTCTAAAGACCCTTCACTAAAAGCCACCTCCCTTCAGAGCTCTAAATAACCCACATAATCTATTTTTTCACCTATCCCATCTCCTTCCAAGTTCTCCTCCTCCTTGACCTTCCTGTCCGCTCTCATTTTCATGCCTGATGTTAATCTGTGGCTCTCTGGGAAGGGTCTCTGGCTTTTACTGACACTTGGGGCTCCTTCYACCACGCTTCTAACATCCCCCCTTTCTCCCTAAAGCACAGAGTGAGCATTTATGTAGAGCCCCCATTTTATTTTCTGATTATCTTAAATAGTCTCTAAACAGTCTCTAATTAAAACAGTTAAATATTTTCTAATTAAGTGCCTGGCCAGGACATAAGACGCCACCCCGACTAGTTGCTGAGTTGCCTCTTTTTTTCCTCCAAACCCTTCAATAGGTTCCTACGTGGGATGTGGCATTTGTGAGCCACGGATTTATGCAGAACAGAGCACTTTGGGCAGCATATGCACAAATACTGAGTTTTGGATGTCTTTGTTCTCACATGTCAAAGTATAAACTTGCAAATGCTCCAAATACACTTTAAATAACTGTTTTCCACCATTTGTGGTGGGCCTGGCTGCTGTCTTGGAGGCAGTTCCAGGCTGTACCCTCCCCTGCCTGCAGCAGCTGTGAAATATCCCTTATTTTTCCCTCTCTATATAAGTGATTTTGGGGTCCGTTGCTTCCTCTGCAGCTCAGGGCCAGGTGCATTCCTCCTTGGAGAAATCCAGAAAGGGAAGCTCTTCATAACAGTGGGGAAAAAAGGCATCTTATTAGTGCGCAGACAGTGATCTGGTGCAGTGCAGGCAAGCCCAACACTGCCCGAGTACCAGGCAGCTGGGTTTAAAAAAACAAATAAAATAAATCACGTCAGCCGGTTTGCTCGGAACAATTCTAATTTGCCACAGGTTAATTAGAAGTCGGATTTCGTGGCCTCGCTCGGGAGAGGAGGCAGATAAAGAACCACGGAGCTTTATCAGCAGCACAGAGACCTCGTTTGAGGAGGGAGCACGAGCTCCAGGCTGGAATTCACAGCAAACCGGGCTGCTTTCCACAAAGGGAACGTGCCGGGGAGCAGTGATGGGAGGCTTGGGGCAGGCGGCCTCAAAATGAGGCTTGATGGAAAATATCAGGGTCAAATGGCAGCTATGGGTCGGGTTGGCACGGAGGGTTTCATTGCACGCAATGCACACTGCAAAGCAATGGCTCGTCCTACCTAAGCCATTAGAAAATGGCATTTTAATGGGAGAGAAGCCAATTTATCTCTTTAATATCTCTAATCATTGCGTGATAGTGTGAAATATGCTTATTTTTCCTGGTCTCCTATTGGCTGTTGCACTGCTGCTTTGCCCCAACCCTGTAAATGAGAGGCTGGTGTTTTGGGCTGTGTTTGCCTTTCACGTGCTGGGTGTTTCCTGCACCAAAAAGTACCTTTTTTCTTGTCCCAAGTGACAGAAAGCAGCTAGGAGGGGAAGCTGGAGGATCCGAAAGGCCTCAGCCTCATTCTGCTGCTGCTAAAGAATTAGAAACTATTAATATTGTCTGTGCTGGCAGGTTGGGAAAACACTTATCCTGCAGGCGAGGAGATTAATCCGCAGGGGGAAATAACCCTGCAGAGCCGGGCGGGAGCTGGCTGGCCAGCCCCGCGCTCGCTSAACACAGCCGCTCGTCATCTCGGGGTGTTAATCGCATGCAATTGCTTTGATTTTAGGGAAACCATTGCAGCAGGCATCCAACTAGCAGGGATTTCGCTGAGTGCACTGGGCTTCTTGCACCTTTAGCTCTGATTTTYGTTGCTTGCACTGCTGTGAGCAAAATAGCACTGCTGAAAATGCCTTCTTTTAATCTTAAAAAAAAAAAAAAATCAGCCTGCTAAGGCTTTGCAAGCAGGGTGATACCTCACTCTGTTTGCTCCTTTGTTGCTATGGCATCATCACACATTTTTCCATGTAGGAAAAGGAATCGCGGGGCAACTGGATGATTTGGGTTTGGGGGTTCCAGGGGACCGTGGCCATCTCGCCCTTGACCTGCTGGGCACGTCTTCCAAGGAAGGAACACGAGGCCAGGAGTCAAGGATAACCACTAGTGAATGATGACACATCCCAAGTTTCCAAGGGAATTTTTCCCTAAACTGTATGTAAATCAGAGCCCCGTTTGGACAAGCATCCTCATGAAGGCGTTTCCATTCCAGTTTTCATCCCAGCTTGAGCTCAGCTTGCAGGAATAAAGGCCGTGTCCCCAAAGCCCGCTCTTGTTGCAGCTCCCCTGGGTCTCGCCATGCGTTAGCGCTGTCACCGTGTCACCCCAGGTAGCCCTGGCACTTTATGGTATCATTTCCACGCTAATCAAGTTTGCAAAATGCTCTGGGATGTTGCATATGACTTTTCATTATGGCTAATAAAAAGGTAGGCAGGATTTCCAGCATTGCTGATCTTCCCTTCATCATCCCCATTCCTCCCCTTGCTGCAGTGCCTGCCCGTGCACAGACAGCAGCAATGTGGGCTCCTCCCGGCCGCGTATCCCCGCTTTGTTATTCCTGCATTTTACATAATCTCTCGACCTCAGCTACGGATAAATAAATTGCTTTACGTGCCAGCGAGCAAATCGCCGCTCGGTGCGTCTTGCTTGCGAGGCGGCGCTCAGGCTGTTTTTCCTCTGCTCTTTAATCGCTCTGGCCTGGCATTCAGTCTCCCTGCTATTATTTATGAGCTGAACCTTAGGAATGGATTATGTAGAGCAGGCTGTGCCAGCGGCTGCGGGCGGCTTCTCGAGCGCCCTCAGGAAGGGGAACATCCCGGTCTGGATCTTGTGCTGGGTCGGGCTGATGGGAAGGCGAAGCTCAACCCTGAGGGCAGCAGCACCTCAGACTCCCCAGCTTTTCAGGCAAATGACTGTTTTATAAAAGCAAACCTGAGCAATGCTCCCTGTGCAGCAGGGTTTTAGCACCTTTGCTTCCCAAACGCCTTGCTGGGTCCAAAGCAGTTTGCCGGCTATCGGAGCTCTCCTGCGCCAATTAAAGCAAGTGTATTCCTGCCTTCTGGTGAGGGTGGTCGCGTCCTCCTCGGAGAGGATGCAAAGCAGCAGCGCCCARGTTTTTGCGAGCAAAAGCTCTCTCCAGATGCCCAACGCCTTGCGAGTTGCTGTGCTGGGATTTCACAGGTTTCTCTGATCTCTCGCTGCCCGGATTCACACCTGAGCGTGGAGCAGCGAATGTGGGAGCACGAGAGCTGAGGTGCTAAGGAGCAGCTGCTGCTCGGGGATATTTTTTTTTCTTTTTGCTATTTATTTCCCTGTTCTAAATCCATTCCTCTGGAAGAAACATGTGCTGCAGCAGTGTAAGGAGCCACCCYTCCTTCCAAAAGCCCCTTCCTCTCGTGGCACCGGGGCTCCGCGGCGCTCGCGGACGTGGCCTGCGTGCGYGCCCCATCTCCTTTAATTACAATGCTAATTTAAAAGTTGCTTGATGCAAATGCTGCTGTCTGCAGCCCTGCAGCTTATGGGGTTCTTAAAGCCCAGCTTGGCTGGGGGAGCAGCAGGAGGGACTGGGGGGGATCCCGGCCCCCCAGGATTTCCCAGCTTCTCTGCAAACTGTGTCTTCACCGTGTCTATGGGCATATTGGGGCAGGAGAAGGGGATTTGCATCTAAATTGCTCTTTTTAGCGCCGTGCTGCCTTGCTGGGATTCAGAGGCCGTGCCCAGCGCCTCTCTCCCTCTTATGTGTCCCCTGTAGCTTTGCAGCCGCTTTTCCCTTCACCTATGGATACGCGGAGCGGCCGCTGCGGGGAGGGARCCCCTGGCCGGTAAGTTCCCGGATTTTCCCTTTATCCCTGAGACGATAATTGCCAAGGGTTTTGCTTCTCTCGCTCCATAATCTTGGGCTGTGCAGGGCAGCGCYGCGGGAGATAAGCGGGGATTGAGATAATCCCGCAGGAAGGGGTCACGGGAGCCCCGGGATGGGATCCRAGCGGGGCAACTGCCTGCGGAGCAGCTGGCAGAAAACAGCCCGAACCGACGGTTTTGGTGCTGCCAAATAATGTGGGATCATTGGGATAAAGTGATGCAGGAGCCACCGGGGTGACATGAAGTGGCCGTGGGACCAGCCACGGTGCAATGCGAGCAAAACACCCTGCAAASAGAGGCAGAACCGCCCCGGCCCAGGGATGACGACTCCCTGGGCAGCATCCCTGGGCTCGCTGCCGGCTTTGGAACCTCGCACGGGAAACGTGCTCGATGTGAGCGCGTCCGCTCCTTCCAGCGGCACAAAACTGCTCTTTTCCCAGCCGGCAGTGAAGGAACAGGATTGCTGGCACTGCTACCCCTGGAAGCGCGGCTCCAGGGGAGCAAGCCGGAAAACCAGGCTGCGGAGATTAGGAAATTAAGGGAATTAAGGAAGCGGAGACGGGACAGGATGCTCACGGCCGTGCAGGAAGAGGAGCCGCCTGCACTCGGGGCTCCAAGGCCGGATGCTGCTTTTAACCCAGGGGTTGCTTTAAATAAAACTCAATGCCCGGATGACAGATGCTGCTTTTCCCCTCTCCTCCCGCTGCCAAATATCCTCTTCCCGCTCCCAAGGTTGTTCTTGGACGAACGGCCCTTGGGCACTGCAGGATGGGGAGCTGCTCAGCCCCAGCGCTGCTGGAGTTTGCAGGCAATTCCCAATGGGATGAAGTAAGGGAACTGCATGAGTATTTTTTCCCCCTTTTCTCCCCGTTTTTCCTTAGGGCTGTTCTCATTCTGTCACAGCGATGCCAGGGAATTGCTTCCCGAAGCAAGAGGAGCCGGCACGCGCCCAGCTGAGCAGTTTGCAAACCTGTCACTCGCTGTCGGCGGCCGGGCTCCACGAGGGGCTGCTGCTTCCCGGCCAGGACACGTCTCGCGGCTCCCGCCAGGCGATTTGGGGCCAAATGGGAAGGGAGCWACAGCGGGGACGGGCTGTGCGGAGCTGCGGCTGCAAAGCGGCTGCTAGGATGGGCCGGGAGCGGAGCCCTCGTGTCCCCAGGGCCGTGACTGAGCCCCGGAGATAAGCAGCTCCAGCCGCAGGGATCAGCTCCATCCATCTGCTYCCCGTCGGCTCCCCTGGAATTAGCAGCGGGAGGCCAAGGGATGGGATTCCCCCCAGATCCCGCCGGAGCGAGCCCGCCAGGAAGGATGCTCCGAGGAAGCAGGTTTATCCCAGCAGGGACAGGACAGGGGCCAACCTGCAGTGCAGCATAGGCACCCCATAGCCCTCCCCTATAGCCCCGCTGGGCTTGGGAGAGGCACCGCATGTCTCGTGGGAATATGCACGGGAATGACCTTGGCTCCGTGGGGAGCTGCCAGGCAGGGACCCCGCGGGCTCCGCGGCGGGCAGGGGGCCGCGTTGGCGCCGCCCGCGCTCACTTGCCTGCGGCCGCCTGCACGTAGCCGGCCAGGGCGCACGCTCTCCTCTCGCAGGCTCCGGCGGGCAGCAGGACGGCGACGAGGGCCAGCAGGGCGCCCAGGGCCAGCAGGGCGCAGCCGCCCGCGCACAGCGCCGCGCTCGCCTGCAACGAGAGCCCCGTCAGCCCCGCGCCGCTCGGCGGCCCGGAACGGGCTCGGGTGGTAAAGGCAGGGCGGGAAGAGGGTCCCCCAGGAACTGCCCTGTGTCCATATGTGTGTATTTACAGGCATATATAGTTATATAATACCTAAATGGAGGAGCCGCAACAGGGAGGATTTGGAGGAGGGAGATGTGGTGCTGCATTCCAAGTGGAAGCATTTGGGGAAGGGGGAAGCARCCAGTGCAACAACTGCAGCAGCTTTGCTGCTATTGCTGTGTAACCCATTGGGCTGTTTGGCTCCCAAATCTGCTAGGAAATTGGGATCAGATGCTCTTCCAGGGAGAGAAGATAACACAGTGCAGGAGAAGGTGCTGGGTTGCAGTGACGTGTCTGTCAAAAAGAGGTTTTGCAGCATGCCCTGGGCTCTGCAGTTGCAAGTGCATCCGCAGCACCCACCACCCTGTCCCTGCATGCACCCAAAGAGGTGCCTGGGACAGCGGGAATCTGCCCCGTGGATCAGGAGGGAGGCAGAGCCAACGTGCCGACCRGGACGCTTCTCCGGAGAAGAAAGGCACGTTAATTAACCTCCRGGCATGATGCAAAGCCTCATTTGTAGGATGATTAACATAATCCCCCAAGTGCACACGCACAGGCAGCCGTAGTGATGGTTTGCGGCGCTCGGCGCTTCCCCCTGCCCGCGTCGGGAAACGTGCGGGAAACGCGGCCCCGGCGGCGCCGGCGCAGGGAGGGAGCAGCCGGAGGTGATAGCAGCAGCCCAAGGGCTGTGCTGTCGGCATTGCCTCCGGATGGGCCGTGCACRTCCGTACGCCGTGGCCTGTCAGCGTCCCCACGGGACGCGCTGTCAGTGTCCTCCCTCGCGGAGCCGTCAGCGCCCTTTGGGACAGGCTGCCAGCGTCCTGCTCGGATGAGCTGTCAACACCCGCCTAGACATCCATCCATCCCCCAAGCAGAGCTGCTGGCCCCACGTCGGCTTCTCCTCGCCGAGATCCCGGGTGCAAGGGCGCAGCTCTCCCGGCTTGGCGGCTGCCGCGATTGCATCCCAAGGACGGCAAGGCTGTTCTGGAAGCCCAGGGAGCTCCRTGTTCCCGTCACTCCAGGAGGGAGACCCTGGTGCCCCGCGGCAGAGCCGGGGGCAGTGCCCTGCTTGGTGCAGAGTTGGGGGTGTTTCATTATATACCCCCCGCTGAGAGCCAGCCCCGTGGGGCTGAGGGTGGCAGGCGCTCGGTTCTCCCCTTCTCCAGTCACCAAACGCGGATTATCCCATCGGAGGTTTTGTGTCACATTGGATCCAGTGTCTAGAGCCTTTTTTAAAGGCTGTTAACTGGCCGAGGCTCTGCCCGGCTGGATCGTGTCTAAATGAGTCACTGTTGAGCTTCCTCCTTATCTTTGAAGTTTGCTAATGCTCGGATGTGTTTATCTGAGTTGCATTTTGCAAAAAAAAATCTGATCAGAAGCCAAGCCCTGGGAACGGCTGCGTCTTGGCGTATGGTTGCATAAAGCAGCAGGGTTTTGTGCAGTAAAATGCACAATTTGCAATGCACAAAATTGCTTGCTTGTATTTAAGGCTGGTTTAAGGAGTGGGGCRGCATCTGGGCAGACAATCCAGCATGGACCTTGATGCCCGACGCRATTTCACGAGAGATGGAGAAACGCAGCAACCGAGTGCCTGCTGCGTCGGGCGCAGGCAGCATCCCCTGGGATTTGCCCCGTGTGCCGGGGTTTGCGCCGCGTAGCAACCCCGAGCAGATCCGGGCTGCTGGGGAAGCTGCAGCCGGGTGGGGAGAAGCCGAGATCCACAGGCAGGGGAAGATGGGGGTCCCCACGCAAGACATCCCGACGGCCCCGCGCCCAGCTGCTCCATGTCCCTTTGGAAAGTGAAGCCCGRTTTGGTGTGAGGGAGACCCAAACTGCCCTGTTTCTGCCCCAGTTTGCAGCACCAGCGGCACTGGGGTGAAGCGAGTGGGACCCCGGCTGCCCTGTGGGGCCAGGAGCTCCCCCAATGCTGCATCTGGGCAGCCTGGGCTGCCGGCAGCGCTGCCAAGGCCCCTGGGAGGTTCCTGCCCGGAGCCGGGAGCTCCCCAGGGATGCACAGGCAGCACCTGCAGCCCAGGACTGGGGGGGTACATGGGGGAGCACGGGAGGACGCTCGGGGGCAGTGGGGGGATGTAGGGGATGCTTGGGGGCAGCATGGGGTGGGAGATGTCAGGGGGGTCGGGGCAGCACGGAGGGACAGCGAGGGGACACCCGGGCAGGTCGAGGAGGCCACACGGGAGGATGCCGGTGGGATGCAGGGAACACAGGGCAGGACGGGACCGTTCCGGGAGGATGCTGAGGAGCGTGGGCCAAAACAAGGGCATGCCAGGGAGATGTCAGGGGGATGCAGGGAGGATGCCAGGGAGCCCGGGCAGGATGGAGGGATGGCGGGGAGATGTCGGACGGATGAGAGGAGACGTCGCACGGCTGCCGCGGAGCGCGGCGCAGCGCGGCGGGATGTCGGGGCGCGCCGAGGGGTTCCGCGGGGCGCGCGCAAGGACGGCGGGGCGGAGGGGGACGCGGGCGGGCGCGGCGCTCACCTGCCAGGGCCCCGCGGCGATGTGGCCGAGGCGCGCGGGGCCGGCGC